GGCCCGGTTTTCCGGGCCGGCCCGGATGGACAGCCCTAACCATAGCCTCATAGAAAAGCTAATTGGGCCTACTAATGAGCTTCTATGCACTTAAGTTTTTGATATGAATTTATCTATACCGTACATAGTGCTCGCCTTTGGCTCTACTCCCATGTGAGTTGAGATTTCAAAATGTTCAACACCTGTCCTCACAATTCTCATAGTTTAAAAACAATAAAAAGAGTAAACTTAAAAAAACTACCCTTTTAATTCCATTCGTCCTCTCGTCACCACAGCAATACCTTTCAACCTAAGCTACCTGATAAGTTCAATTTTTCATGAGAACCTATAATAATACAGAACTTGACAATGGACAGAAATATGCTAACTGATGACTTCAGTTTATTTATTACCTTAACTAAGATACCATCTAACATCAGTAACATTGCTGACTCAGAAGGCTAATTAATAATTGACAAGAACTTCTCAAATGCTGTACTGATTCTCACAAGTAACACACATGAAAATAGCTTAATAAAGTTAAATCTGTTTCGCTAATTAATGCGGAGAATAAATAACAAAATTATACTGAATCTTATATCAGTCGCGTGATGAGATTTGCAGTAATTTACATGTTCATTCATCTGTATCAGACGTAACATTTTAAAAAGAAATGGAAAATTGACTCTTTCTTAGAGTAGAATTTGTATATATGAACAGGATGAACACCAAACCGAGGATATCATAAATCTAAAAGCAACTCCAGCGTCCATAGTACGTGCTGAACTGTATTTCAAATGTTTCCTCAGACAACAAACTAAAATTCACCACTAGACTTTGGTAAAACTCGAGTTTCTAGTACGTGCTGATAAGGTTTGAGATGTCAACATTGGTTCGGCTTTCAATTTGTCCTTATGGCATCAGCGATGGGGGTTTCTTCAGTTTTAGTAGATCGATATTACATATACATAGCATAAATCAGAGTTCAGTCATAGGCTTCTATTTGTCGACTTTTCCTTAACATACCAGTATCAAACCAAATGTTGGTAACTCAAACCTTAGATCTCCTCCTGTATCTGCTTTCACAAATAGATATCAACATGGAGTAATCATTAGCTGATATTGGGGTATCGGTCATTTCTGTTTTGATATTATCGACATGCTTAAAATTCGATATGATCTGGTCAATACTTATCCTTAGGTATATTGGTCAGAATGAGCCGTACTCAGGCCTAATCTGATTTGTCTTCGACCCATCAAAACAACACCTAATGCATGTGCAAGATATATTCTCCAATATGCAGCCATGCAGTGCACAAGTGCTTTGCGGGAAGGAAAGATCAAGGTGAATAAAGGCAGATACCTCAAAAACAAGCATCAGCGCACAAATGGTTTACTTTCACATGGCTTCAAGTCTTCATGGGGTCATTCCAAGCCCCCTCCATACTTTACCTAAGAGAATATAAACTTTACTTTTGTGATTTTCTTTCCAATTGAATTAAAAGAGATATTCCAACTTTAGAGGTGACGGGATCCTGAAAACTTCGTTTAGATACCATGGCATTTTCCTTGTTTCCATTGTGTTTTTACCAAAAAGGAAACACCATGCGTTTGAAAACTATGGTGTTTTTTTTAACTAAATCATCCTCGAACCAAAAACATAACACTTATTTTAAAGGATTGGGATCCTCTACTAATGAGGAGGTTCCTAATATCTCCTAATGGGATATTGGCCTTTGATTTATCAATCAAAGGCCATGATCTCCTCATGAGCAAAAGTAGGGGGAGGATAAGGATGAGATCTTGGCCTTTGATTGATAAATCAAAGGCTAAGATCTCTTTATTAGGAGATATTAAGAACACTATGCATTAGTCGAGGATTCCAATATTATTTTAAAATACCTAAAAGGTGTTTTAAGTTTGGTACTTTGGTTTTGAGTTGGAGGAGATGTTAATAACTTAATATAATATCTAACATAATATATTAAATATAATTAATATATAGTTATTATCGACATGCTTAGTATATTATATCATACTATATTATAGTTAATCAAATATATTATTAATACTTATCAAATAATATAAAATATATTAATAATTTAAATATCTTATATAATAAATAACATATTAAATACTAATATTTAATATGTTGATGGTGTATTATATAATAACATAGTTAAATTAATATAATAATAAATAAAAATAAAATATAAATAAATTAATAAAAAATAATAAATAAAATTTTTATGAAATAAATAATCATATTACTAATATACTTTACAATATTACATATCACTATAATATTATTAAATAATATGTAATTAAATTAATAGTATAAAATGTTATACATAGCTAACATATTTAACAATAAAAAACAACAATGCGAAATAATAAATATGAAGTAATATATTATATATTCATATATTATATAGGGAAATGTAAATATAAAATATAAACATATTAATATTCTATATATAATTTAAATAACTATAATATATTATATATAAATACTACAATTAACATAATGTCAAAATATTTATTCTGCCTTAACAAATGTTAATTGTAATAATAATATTGTTCATAATAATAATATTTACTTTATATCATAAATTATTAAAGTAAACTATTAATATATTTAGAAACGATAATATATATACACTAGTAATAACACAATATTAATATTATTAATAATATTGCATTATATTAATAATATTATTAATATTATATTAATAATAAAATAGTATTATTTTAAAAATATTATATAGTATATCACAATAACAAATTAATATACCAAAATAATTAAATATATTTTTATTTGAAAATAATATGTAATAATTATAATATAATATAATACATTAAAGTATAATATAATATTATAATACACTATATAATATTATATTGTATTATATTTAGTATTATAATATATTTAATACTAACATTATAATAGGTCAAACAAGTGTTGACGAAAAACACTCAGCATAGTGTTTTGAAAACACTTTAGGAGGAAAACACAACACCATTATGTTTTTTTTTATAAAAACACAACAAGGAAAACACCATGGTATCACAAAGCCTTAGTATTTATCTGTTCACTTATTTCTTTGATTACTAACAAGTTTTGAAGGAAAAAATTATCTAAAGAATGGACTTTACTGGCATATCAGATGCGTTAAAGGCCTTTTCCACTTCACCAAAACTCAGTGAAACAGATCTTTAACATGGTATTGGAGCAACCTACGTTCAGACCCATCTGCCACGCATTTAAAAAGCCAATTTAAACAAGATAAAGATATCGGCACGACTTCAAGTTTCAACCCACGAAATAAATATTCAGGCTACGATACATGTTAGAGTATAAAAATAATTATCAATACTCACTACAACATGAATTTATGGTGAGGTATGAGAGTTATATACTCTAACAAGATGCATATACCAGCAGTCAAATGACCTGAAAACCTTGACGACTACACTATTCTACCACTTTATACAAAAGGATCCAGAATCTGAAGGGTAAGGTATATTTTGTATCCCATGAGTTTCTTTTAAATAATCTAGCGTGATTTAGTCCTATAACATCAAGGATCTAACATGAATTGTCATCTCTGAATGGACATCAAGGGAATTTGGCATAAACAATCAAGCAACCTGTTACTCTCATAATAAATCAGTAATATGGAGTCCAGAAACTAACAGAAAAATATATCAAGCATGAAAAAGGGGGAATACAATAGGGACAATTTATAGGTAAGTAGACACACTGACAAACGGTTTATAACTACTTGACAAGGTTCATGTGCTCTTCTAAATAACTAAAGTAAGTAGACACACTGACAAACGGTTTATAACTACTTGACAAGGTTCATGTGCTCTTCTAAATAACTAAAATGCGAAAAAGGAGACTAAAAGTTTATAACTACTTGACAAGGTTCATGTGCTCTTCTAAATAACTAAAATGCGAAAAAGGAGACTAAAACAATGGCAATAGGAAGTAGCTTAACCTCTTAAATTACTCAGTTAGGTGGTTATCTCCAGATGTATATAGGAGATGGAGTACTACTACTTGTAGGAATTTCTCTTGAACCCTAGTGCATACTCTTGGTTGGGAGTATGAACTATTTTCTGTAACAACCATCCTTTTAATTTAGCTAGCTGGAATACCTTTGGGGTGTTCCATCCTTTTTCTCAAAAAAAAGTAATAATAAAATTACTCAGATATGAAGTGCATCTCTTCTTCATTCTTATTCATATTAGGCTGGCTGATAATCTTATATGATCATTTAAAATGATAATTAACACATAATCTCGTTCAGATGCAGCATCAAGGGGAGAAACTCCTTGAAGGTCTAAGAGCAATTATTTTTTCCATTCTGGAAGGTAAATGTGTTCATGGCGACAAAACTTTTTCACTTTGACATTCCATTCAGAAGAATTCAGTGTTGTAAGGTAGTATCCTGTTGACATGGAATATATATATTTTTTTGTTCCCATCATTTATCTTCCAGTTCCTTTTGACCGGGTATCTTTCAAAGACGAGAATCCTGGGGAGTCAAAAAGGGAACCAGAGACAGAAAACGGTCAAAAGTTTAAATCCTGAAGAAAAGATATATGCTCAAAGTCAAAACCCTTTCCCCTCGAGGCTCAGATTTACAAGATTTTGGATAAGAGGATATATGCAGGCAATATACTTAAGTCTTTCAGTAATTAGCTTGCTACTCATAATCCAACATATGAGATACCTTGGAAAGAACAGTCATCAGAGGACACTTAACATCTCTTTCATTTGGGAGTGGAACAAAAAAAAGCTTAAACCATCTTAAACTAAATAAGATAACACAATCTGCAACCTGCTCTGTCTAATTTATTGAAACTGTGACTAAATTCAAACCATTAATCACCTTAATCTAGTATGACAGAACTCGTGGAGGTCATAACTCTAGGCCATAAAGCATGAAGGCTTTACAACCAATGCTCGCATATAAATACGACCTATAGCTCCTCTCGTTCACTAACCTCAAATCTCACTGCTATAACCTGCTATCCAATAGGCCAATAACAGTCAGCTACAATGGATAACAGTTCTGAAACTTTGAGGTAAGCTTCCTGTCCTCTGCTATGAGTTTGTTTCTCATGCATCTTCTAAAATCTTCATCTCAGTCTTTGCACATGATGTGTTCCACCAGTTCATAAATCTTTTATTGATACATGATGTATTCATAACTCACGTGAATCTTAATTTTCAAAGAGCATTCAGGGCCCTTTGATGCAATTCATCTGACCTCGCGAGGTCTATGTTTCAACAGTTTTTCGCCTTCTTTAGTCCACAGATAAGGAAGCAGAATCTTAAAGAAAGTGCTGAGCAAACTAAGGGTGTGTTTGGCAAAGTGAACAAAACTAGGCCAGAACTAGTCCTGGCCCAGTTTTGTACCAAACTAGTTTTCTTTTGGACCAGACCCTCTTATTTCAAAAGAAAACTGGTTTAGTGACACTATTTAGGCTAAAAAAATTGGGCCAGCTCTTGCCTAAAATTTTGACAAACAAGAAACAAGTTAAAATTGGGCCAAGTTCAGTCCTGACCCAATTTTAACTTGTTGCCAAACACACCCTAAGTCTTACTAGATACATGCACCTTCCTATATATTTAGTAAATTTCCAACTTATAAAGCATGTGTTAATTGATTGTGGAGACTAGATTCATTAGCATTGAGGAACTTAAAAGATGAAAATCAACTCATTTTCAACTCTCATTAACTTATAGGTATATTTTTTAATAAAATGCCAAAAATAGGGGTTCCAGATACCCAGAGCATAGGTGAACTTCCATAGATCTCCTATGATATACCATGCCTAAAGGCAATGACATGATAGAACTAAAGGCGCGCGCTCCAACTTCCTATAAATATTGATCTCACTTCTAGTTGTTACAGCATGCATATCAAGGGTTGATATACCTTTTCTAGAGAAGTTTAAATTATACAATATTCGTGATGCTGTCCATAATCATCATCCATTTTAACTTGCCTATTGTTTTACTCTATTAGGAATAAATGCGCAGCTTGCTATAAACAATACAACAAGAAGGAACACTTGGTGGAGCACATGAGGGTCTCATTCCACTCAGTCCATGAACCGAAGTGTGGTGTTTGTCAGAAACACTGCAGATCATTTGAATCACTAAGGGAACATCTAATAGGTCAGTAAGAACCCCAAAGGACAACATACACTGAGTTACATCAGTTTAAGTTCCATTACAGCTTGATGATATAACTTGATCCTTCCTTTTGTTAAGGTCCATTGCCAAAACTAGAGTGCTCGAAGGTATTCAGTGCTCGAGGGTGCAACTTGTGTTTGAAAATTTTTGATAGCCAGACTGCTCTAAGATATCATCGGGGATATTGCCAAGTGTCCCGTCCTACTTCTGTAAGTAAAGTTTAACTGGTGATAATTTTGTCCAAAAAAGTTCAGTTACTTTGATAAACATAAGACCAGGCAGAAAGGAACGGCGTAAGACTTTAGAAAATAGTATGAGTTGACTCAATGTATGTGCCACACTAGCTCTCATAAGTTTTCTGGCAATCATCAGCTACAACAGATGAAGATTAGATATATATGTGAAAACGGCGAAGGAATTGTGAAAAACGTGAAGAATAACCCAAAACAGACTCCACCACACCCTAGTGTGGTGTCGAATTGTGAAAAACGTGAAGAATAACCCAAAACAGACTCCACCACACCCTAGTGTGGTGTCTGCCATGGGTGTGGTAGAATCTGTCCTGCACCCCCCCCCCTGCCACATCCACGGTGCAGGGTGTGGCAGAATCTGTCCTGCAACACACCCTCTGCCACACCCATGGTGCAGGGTGTGGCAGACTCGTTTTTTAGAATCCTCCTTTGTTTGGGAATCCTCCTTTGTTTGGGATTGTGTTTTATTATCAATAGGACCAAGTTTTTTAGGGTTTCTTAAGAAGAGAAAAGGAGAGAATTAGCATTGTTTTGAGCACTTTGAGAGGGAGATATTATGAGGGAGTTGAGAGCTTGTTTTGAGCACTTTGAGAGGGAGATATTATGAGGGAGTTGAGAGCTTTGGTTAGGGTTATATTTGAGTGATTTTGTGAGTTGTAACCCGTTGTATTTCTCCTCCATATAGTGAAATATTCTCATCCTCTCCCCGTGGACGTAGGCAATTGCCGAATCACGTATATCTCTGTGTTTGGTTTGATTTGTCGTAATTGGCTTGGTTTGTGCAAGTGTGTGGCTTTCTTCTTCTGTGATCTCAAGTTCGTTGTGTGTGCGTGCAACGCTTCCGCATAGGCGCGCGACAATATAATGTTTCAAAACCTTCTCTTGCAGGGTCTCACGAGTCGCATGTCAAGGTTGGGCTTGCAAAGCTCATTGGATTTTGATGCCAGAGCTCAAGGAGCCAAAGTAGTCGCACTGGGGTGCAAAATGGTTGGAGGAGGAAGTGATGGGACACTAGATATCTGCGCTAGGGTTTGCCTCATCGATGAAGCGGAAAACATCATCTTCCATACTTACATCAAACCACAGATAGCAGTCACAAACTATAGGTAACAAAGAAATTTCTTAAATTATTCCTTGCGTACTTGAAGCGAGTGCTATGAAATTTCAAATTATTTCCTTAGGTATGAAACAACCGGAATAAGATCCGAACACTTAAGGGATGCAATGCAATTGAACCAAGCTCAAAGGAAGATTCAAGATTACTTATGCAACGGAGAAGCGATATGGAAGATCCGATCAAGGGGAGGAAAGGCGAGGATTCTGGTGGGACATGGATTAGATCACGACCTTCAACGTCTTGGAATCGAATACCCTTCATTACTTATCAGGTGGTTATGACTGTTAGGTTTAAATTAAAGAGTCTCAAAAGCTATATTCTGAGAGCTTTCAGTTTGACATTGTTGCTTGCTCACAGGGACACTGCCAAATACCCCCCATTAATGAAGACAAGCAAACTTAGCAACTCACTTAAGTATCTAACACAGGCCTATCTTGGGTAAGTACAATAATTTTCTTTCTCATCTAAACTCTTTACTGTTTTTGGCAACAAGTCCTGCTCTTGAAAGTTGTTATATATAGCCAACTTTAATTCCGACGACATATCAGTATAGGGGTCTTCACAGATCCACAGGCAATATACCGAACACATATCATCCACATATAGAGCACCTTTTTACTTGTAATTTTACACAATAGCTAGACAAAGCATAGCAAGTGGTCCTGGCATTATGCTTTGAAGAGGGAGAAAAACTTACAAGGGACAGTACTATTAAGTGATAGTTTTTCCTCATCCAGTCTTTTTCCTCACTCCTAGGGTCCATGGTTGTGGGACCATCAGTCAGTACCTTTCCTACAGCTGACCACTACTACTACTGGATTGTGTACATCTCTAGCTACCATGATAAATATATCACGCACGTGTCAAATCTAATGCCGAAAAAGAATAGCTATATGCATCATAGCATCTGTGTCAATGAAAACTAATTCCTTCACAAATGCATCCCTACATAACTAAAAGCTAAAACTCACTACCTACTTCGTCCGAATTGGTTCATCCATCCTGAAACATATTTATAATTCTCTTTCTACATAGATAACCGTATTGATATTGTTAAGAAGAATATGATAATGATTGAATGAGAGATGATCCTTTGAGATGTTTTTATCATGTGCAGCGGAGGCCATTGAATGCAATAATTAGGAGAAATTATTAGATTGCAATCAATGGAAAAAGAAGGACTAGAGGTAGGCCTAAGAAAACTTGGTTACAAGCTGTTAAAAAGAAGTGGAGGAGATAGCTCTCGCCATAAATGAGTAGAAGACTAGGATTCCTGTAGCCGATTACAAAAACTTGGGAAAAGGCGTTACTCATTCTTGTTGTTGTATGTGCCATATGTTCCTCAAATATTCACTTGAACCTGCTCTTATTCAAATGTTCAAATGTATAGATATGAGATTCAGAATGGAATACAAGATCCATACGACGACTGTGTGGCTGCCATGAGGCTTTATGTCAGAATGCGGTCATTGGCTCATCCGCGTGATTTCACCTCGGGGTCAGGTGAAGCTCAAATTCGGAATAACTTTCCATCATGGAGGCAGAGGGAGCTTGAGAGCATGAGTCCAGAGGCTATGCTGAAGATTTCTGGATCAGATTACTACTGTTGGTGCTTGGACTCTTAGATAAACTACGGATAAAGTGGCCCATATAATCAATATAATAAGAGCAGCAGAGGCATGTGGTTATATTCTGATAGTTAATGCAGCGTTACAGTGGTGGTATATTGTATGTTGTGTGGCTTGATTGTGTAGTTTAATTTGCGTTAAATGTTTTCATGCTTATGAATAAAAGTTATTATGGATTGCCGTTTGAATAATATTTATAATTCTCCAAGTCACTGAATCATAACATCAAAATCTATGAATTACATCCATACCTTGCCTTTTTTTTTGTCATCCATCAAATAAGCCGAGTGTAAATATTGTTCAATATTTGTCATTTGTGTACATGCAAACTACTGGAACAATATAACTACATGAGAAGATGAAGAATCCTGCTCGAAAGCCAAAATGATAAGCAGTTTAAAATTTGTTTGCATAAACAAAGCATGGTAGAGGTCAAAACAAGAAAAGCACATGAACAATACTAAATAGAATTGGAGAGGTAAGTGTAGTACTTCAAAAAAAAAATTTACAACTATACATAGATGAGATATGGACAGATCTATGAAATTGTAAGAACTAAGAAATCATAAATACATAATTTGCACAAAACATTAAACAGGAAAAAGTCATTGTTCCTTTACCAATGAAAAATCAATGGCAGAAGGGTCCTGGCATTAGTTCCATAGGATGAGCAGCTCGAGTACAGTCTGGCAAACTCCATGAATTGTTCTGATGATCCCAAGCATAATTAAGTGGGTGTAATTAAATATCATTCGCTAGCTTCTGAGCTTGCTTTCCCGATTTTAATGGTCTTTTTTTGAGTTACAATCGTCTCCAAGTGCAACCTAACTAAATTAAGCATGCGAACAAAAGAGAAACAAGATCCTTAATAAAAAAAGACTTTGCTGATTAGGATAGAGAACTAAGTACATCAATGTCATAATATAAAAATATGAACCTCAACGCTCATCATAACTTTAAAGTTTTGGAGCAATTGGTTAGGGACTTTGATATGGTGTGATAGTGGCAGGGTCTTTTAAGATGGTATTAGAGCAACCCAGGTTCAAATCCAACTGGCCACAAATTTAAAGCAGATTTTATAAAACTTGACACTGTTGCATGAATCTAGGTTTCGGTCCACAAAGAGGGCGCTCAACCTGTGTGGACATATTAGAATATAAAAATATAACACTTAGTCCTTATTGCCCTGTTTGGATGGAGGGTAGAGAGGGGGAGGGGAAGAGAAATGAGACTTTCACATTGTTTGGGAGTTTTTTTAAGGAGGGTAGAGAGGAGGAAGGAAGGGGAAAGGAGGGTAAAATTGCTTTGTTTTCTTTCCCCCGATTTGGGCGGTAGAGGAGGGTAAAGGAGGGTAAAGGGGTGTAATGACATTCTTACCCCCATCAAAACAAATAAAAGGACTGATGTGTTATTAGTATAAAGTCATTTATGTAAATTTACATATATTTACTTCCTTTCACCTTCATTCACCTTACTTAACTCCCAAACAATATATTACAATTCTCTTCCCTTCCCTTCCCTTCCCTTCCCTTCCCGTTGTTTACCTTTCCTTCCCTTCCCTTAGTAAACTCCCAAACACACCATATGAGTTTTGGTGTAATGGCAAGATCTTTTAAGAATCATAAAAATTTCAGGTAATGATAACCATAAATGTCCAATTAACAGTAATTTACGATCATACATTAATGAAATTTATCGAGGAATTATACGTGAACTTAAGAAGAAAATTGTTAGGAATAGAAAATGCCATAAGATAATTCACAGCCTCGTTCACCAGCATACGTTAATGAATCAAAATGTCAGTAGTTATCTGTGAATTTCAACCCATCCAGATTCTTTCCTATTCAGAAACTTAAAAAAAAAATGAACACCAAAATTCCACTTTCACATGCAGAACAAAATTATACCACATCGCGGCCATCATCGTCGCCTGTAGGCTGCACGGAGTCTGCCTCCACGTCAGCCCTAACCGCCTCCACCGCCGAGGCGGGAGATTTGAGATTTGATTAGAGGTTGGATTTGGCTTCTTTAATCGTAAAAATGGTGGGAAATAAAGAGAAACAGGAGGGTTAAAAAAATGATCTTTTTGGGGTTAATCGCGGCTAGGCGCCGACGCGCCCTAGTATTATTTTGAAGGGTAAATTACACTTAACCCACAGGAACTTTTATTTGTAGTGCAACCCCAATAACTTCTAAAGCTGCACTAAACCCCCAATAATTATTGGAATTGCAGAAAATTACCAATAAGTTTATGTGTTTTGTAGATAACCCCCATGACTTCTCAGTCCACATTTTATGTTGGAGACACATTTAGATCCTAAATGTGGATTGATAGTCATGTCATGGGGTGTAGGCTGTCTAAAAATCACAATAGATAGCTGATACCCATCAAACACCGATGATGGAAGTTACAATCTGACGACTTCCAGAAGGCTACAATTTGAAGACTTTCACGTGGATCGATAAAGGTTACAATCTGACGACCTTCACAACAATTAATGAAAGCTCTAATCAACAGCCTCCACAATCAACATCGGGAGTTACAATCTGACGACTCTCACATATCAGAGAGCTAAACCAAAGATTACAAAATGACGATCTTTGCAACACTTCGACAGAAAGAGACTACAAATCAACGGTCTCTTCAAATCAAGACGTGGAAGTCCTCCCCGCGTACCAGCATCAAGATGCGCCGCGTTCATAGCCACGACCGCAGCTCAAACGCAGCCTCCGAAAGCTACAAACGCAGCTTCCATGCGCTGCCAAACGCAGCTTCCAAATCGCTGCAAACGCAGCTCAGACGCAGCTTCTAACGCTGCCAAATGCAGTTTCCAAATCGCTGCAAACGCAGCTCAGACCCAGCTTCTAATGCTGCCAACGTAGCTTCCAAATCGCTGTAAACGCAGCTCAGATGCAGCTTCCAACGTCGCAAACGCAGCTCCAAAAGCTGCAAACGCAGCTCAGATTCGGCCGCCAACGTAGCCCATGTTCGGCCACAAACGCAGCTTCCAACAAACTGCCAACGCAGCTTCCAACAAGACGCTGCGTCCGAGCCTCCAGACGCTAACTGCCAACGCAGCTTCCAACAAGACGCTGCGTCCGAGCCTCCAGACGCTGCGTTCAAACGCAGATTTTATTTCAGAATGCAGAATTTGCGTTTGACTCGTTCAAACACGAGCTGAACGGTTTCAAAACCATTTTCCACGATCTGAGGGGATCACAACCCCACTCAAGAGTGATTTAAGGGGTGATTACATCCTATTAGCCCCACTTAGGAGCGAATTAAGGGGGTGGTTACACCCTTTAATCCTCTATAAATAACTAAAAATCAATTCAGTTTGGGGCTTTGGTTCTGATCCTTCGGCTAGGACTCCTTGGCAGCAGGGGCTGGATCTTTCATCCTTCTTTTTGGCAGCAAAGAAGAGATCATTGGCTTGTTTAACCAATTACGGTTAAGATCAATCAACTCATCAAGAGTTCTAAAACTTGCTTTGCAAGTTCTTCACAACGTCAAATCGTGAGGAGAAGACCACGTTCCAGTGAATCAAGATGTTCAGATCGTCAACGGAGAGTAAACTCGACGCGAGCATTCGAGGGAGGCACTCCATCGCCACCGTGAAGAACCCAGAATTAAACAAAGGGGAGAATCATCATTCTCCTCTCTTTTGTAATCAGGAAATCCAATTGTAATTGAGATTAAAGGAATACAGATCAAATTTCCTTCATTTCTTTTTACTGCAAATTTTTCCACAAACAAAAGATCAGAACCGAAGCCCCAAACTGAATTGATTTTTAGTTATTTATAGAGGATTAAAGGGTGTAACCACCCCCTTAATTCGCTCCTAAGTAGGGCTAATAGGATGTAACCGCCCCTTAAATCACTCCTGAATGGAGTTGTGATCCCCTCAGATCGTGGAAAATGGTTTTGAAACCGTTCAGCTCGTGTTTGAACGAGTCAAACGCAAATCCTGCATTCTGGAATGAAATCTGCGTTTGAACGCAGCATCTGGAGGCTCGGACGCAGCGTCTTGTTGGAAGCTGCGTTGGCAGTTTGTTGGAAGCTGCGTTTGCGGCCGAACATGAGCTACGTTGGCAGCCGAATCTGAGCTGCGTTTGCAGCTTTTGGAGCTGCGTTTTCGGCGTTGGAAGCTGCATCTGAGCTGCGTTTGCAGCGATTTGGAAGCTGCGTTGGCAGCGTTGGAAGCTGCGTCTAAGCTGCGTTTGCAGCGATTTGGAAGCTGCGTTTGGCAGCGTTAGAAGCTGCGTTTGGCAGCGTTAGAAGATGCGTCTAAGTTGCGTTTGCAGCGATTTGGAAGCTGCGTTTGGCAGCGGATGGAAGCTGTGTTTGCAGCTTTCAGAGACTGCGTTTGAGCTGCGTTCGTGGCTATGAACGCGGCGCATCTTGATGCTGGTACGCGGGGAGGACTTCCACGTCTTGATTTGAAGAGACCATCGATTTGTAGTCTCTTTCTATCGAAGTGTTGCAAAGATCGTCATTTTGTAATCTTTACTTTAGCTCTCTGATATGTGAGAGTCGTCAGATTGTAACTCCCGATGTTGATTGTGGAGGCTGTTGATTAGAGCTTTCATCAATTATTGTGAAGGTCGTCAGATTGTAACCTTCATCGATTCACGTGAAAGTCTTCAAATTGTAGCCTTCTGGAAGTCGTCAGATTGTAACTTTCATCATCGGTGTTTGATGGGGATTAGCTATCTATTGTGATTTTTAGACAGCCTACATGGGGATCATCTATAAAATAAGAAAACTTATTGAAGGTTTCATGCAATTTCAATAGTTATTGGATGTTCATTGCGATTTAGAGGTTATTGGGATTTACTGTAAAATGCTAAAAGTTCGCGGGGTTCTATCTCAAATTTACTACCCTCTAGCTTTGTTGTTGCAAATGGACCCTCTAGGTTAAATTTTATTTTAACTCTTTTTATCCTAAGGGGCTATCTGCTATACATGCAAAGATTCAATGGATTTTCCTAATGTGTTGACCAACTATCATTTGAGTTTTTAATACTTAGAAATAATCACTGGGTTTTTAACGTTATCTTCATCATTAAGTCCCTTTTACACACTGTTATTATTATAGCCATTTTTGTGATGAGAAATAATCTCCAACCAATGACAGACAAAACGTCTCACATTATGCATAATCAAGTCAAGCGTTTCAAGATAGAAGCCCAATTCAGTCGACTTAACAAGCCGACATCCTGCGAAGACGACTCGAAAGGCGTTACGTGACGACAACCCTAAAGGCGTCACGCATCGACGACCCGAAAGGCATTATGTGTCATCCCCCGGCTGAGTCGACTGCTTAACCACTTCACTCAGCCAACCAATTAGTCGACACCTTGCGAGGGCGACTCATAATACGGTACTTCTCAACCACCAGACGAGTAGAAAGGCGATGTAATGCCTCAAGCCTCGAGCCCCCTCCTATGCACTGGTTACCAATCACCTCTCAATAAATATCATTAAATACATTATGGGCACCATCATTCCTCTGCCCCCCAATAGTATTTATGACATATCGGACCACGTCAGCATCGTACATCCCCAATCACTTCGCATTGAGTACCAAAGTTACATCTCCTCCACACGTCGGCCGACACCTGTAAAGCTGAGGATGACGTGGCCTATACTCGACCGAAGTTACCATTCTACCCTCTTGTCACTACTATAAAAAGAGAGACTATTTTTAATTATAGGGTAAGTTCTTTTCCACTACTCTCTCTGCTTAAGAACTATTGCAGTTCATTTTTACTTCTCAACTCAAGCAACTCATTGACTTGATCGTCGGAAGAACAGCCGAGGAAACCCACCCCACCCTCTTACGATTTGTTACTTGTGCAGGAAAGAACGGTTTATTTAAGAACCAGACATTTAGAGAGTTAGAGGACATCCTTCAACTTAATCAATCCCTTATTTGACCGTGTGATTTCATACATCAATAGTTTGGCGCCAACTGTGAAACCTTCTTTCTTCTCTGAGCAATCGTGCCAGATTATGAGTATATGTATGATCAGTTCATCCCTGGAGAGCCATATCCAACCTATGTCACGCGGGCTCAACTTGAAGAATCCACCTAGCGGATCACTCAAGCCTTCCAGCAATAGTTTGTTGCTTTCACCGTCGAACTCCTCCATCAGATCGCTCCTCCCCAGCCCACTCACTCCACTGCTCCTCAACCATCAGGAGGGTAGCCTTCGGCAACTCATCCTCCAACGGGAGCCCAGCTAAAGGCTCTTTCACCTCTGCATGTTGCCCATGCCGGACAGGAGAGAAGCCGCGTCGAGCACACCGAGCCAATCTTCACCATCACTACCTTCCATACACGAAGATGATTGGGGAAAGTCCTAACCCCAGTCGTGATGGAAGGGAGCACACCATCCTAGGAGCTCGGTGAGATCCTCGGTGCTACCGCGTCGCTCTAGGCCTCTCAGCTACCTATATAGCCTCCGGTTATGATCAAACTTACCGATCAATCGCCAAAGCTATGGGGGAGGGGGGATACTCCTCTTACAGATGACAGCATGAATGTCACCAGTGAGAAATTCAAGATGCCCCAAGTAGAGAAGTACAAGGGCGAGGGAGACCAAGAGCGAGGGAGACCCTACGGAGCATATACAAAATTACTAGGACATGATGAGTATGCTGCAGGCGCCCAAAGACTTTATCTACATGTGTTTTCCCATCACCTTATTGGAAAGCACCAAGCTCTGATGGAACTATCTAGAGAAGAAGTTCATCGCCAGCTTCGAGCAGCTCAGCCATAAATTTGTGCACCACTTCATGGCTGACACCAAGCAAAAATTACTTACTCACATGCTCATTTAGATAAGGCAGGAGCCCGGAGAGAGCCTCCAAAGCTATTTCAAGAGGTTCCAAGCCAAGCAGCTGGAGGTCGACAACCCAGGGAGCATGGTCACCATGTTGGCCATTGTAGCCAGCCTATCAAACAATGAATTGACCGATTCACTCGCCAAGAAGCGATGCTCCATTTACGATCAATTGATGGCCAAGGCTCACAGGTATATGGATATGCAGGATGCCCGTGCCTACAAGAATGTTGCTAGGGCAACATAAGCAATAGTGGTG